TTTATTGCTAAACGCCATTACCTCACACGTTCAAAAGTGTTAGCGTCGAATTCGGCATAAAATCCACATTCGAAACGGTTGCGCTTCGCACGATTTTAGGAGAAAAAAAATTTAAAATTCGAATTTCATCGTCATCTAATCATTCCCTCCATTTAACATAAAAAGACGCAATCGCACATTCGGAATAAATGTCTTTTTTTTTCATTTTCATTTTATATAATCTGTTGCTCAAATCTTCGTTGGAACTGGCCGCCTGAACAATAAAAAGAAAAAAAAAATTAATGGAAACAGACGTTATATTGATAACAAAAGAAACCCACATTATAAGTATTAAATAAATTTAAGTCACCGTGTACTACATTGTAATCTGTCAAATAATTGCGCGTTATTGCTCCTTATATATACGTAATACGGAGTAAGATCGCTTGAGCGCGGTGTCGTCTTTTTATTTTATCGGACAACTCGACTAAAGAAAGTCTAGAATGCCTACTGCAAAAGTGGAACAACAAACCTGTAGTCACGAAAACTGATTAAACACTATACAACAGCAAATTTATATGCTCACATAAGACTAATGTTCGACAAACCTATTAGTTATTACTGTACACTTCAGACAAGATTCGCTAAATCGAGATATAAGATATGTTATTATATTATATATTATATAAAAGGTATGTTATTTTGTGTTTAACAATAACTGGTAAATGAAATTGTTTTCTTTTCCGAACCGAGTGGTAGGGTTTTGACAATCAATAAGTAAGTTTGTGTAATGTTTCTATATTGAATAAAGATATTTGAATTTGAAATTAAATAACTCGTTTCAGGATTGTATAACTTTTGAAAAGTATAAAAATTAAATAATGAATTAAAAAAATACATTTTCAGGACACATTTTTAGAAATCGTTGTCTAGTCCAAGACTAGGCAAAGCTCGTACTGTGGGTAACAAGGTAGATGATAAACAAACTTAAACGTATATTTAAATTTAAATAATTACAGATACATAAACAGCCACACTAGAGGAATAAAATGTTCGTTAAATGACATTTATCAAGTAGTCAGGACCGAACTCACACCCTCTGGCGTAAAAGATAGGTTCATCCTCCACTGCGCCATTAGGTTTTCTTATTATTATATAATAATTTATAAAATAATCTTATTATTATTATAAAATAATTAATTAAAAAATAATTAATTTAATTATTAATTTCATTAATAATTTTAATTAACAACTAATTATTTTCTTTTATTAAAATTTTGTGTTAATAAATAACAATTAATTATACAGATTATGTGTACAATCAGTTATTTAATTATTATTAGCTCAAACCTATATGACACAAACATATATGACCCGACAGATCTTAAGAGCGGTACAGCTGATCCGATGCATCTTTTGACATAAAACGATTGTTACAACCAACCCATAACTTTGCTGACACCAAACTATTAACGATCCGTGAAAGAAATAGAAAATGTTGGGAGCACATTAAAATACTCAAGTTGCCTGTCTGTCGTCTATAAAAAGAAACTCCTTTCGGGACTATTCAGCTAGGGTACGCCCACACTACGCGTTAACGACACGACAACGACAAAAGTACATTGGCAAATACCTAATAAATAAAAATAAAATGTCATAAAAATCTACACATTTTTGTGACATTTTATTTTTTCAATAACGTATTTGTGTTGATTTATTTGAAATATACAGATAGTTCCAGTGACATAATTATCTTTAAAATGTAAAATCTTCTTCTTTTTCCTTTAAGGTGCTATGTTAAGTTTTACGTGAACTTATACTTCTTTAGCACCAAAAAAAAATTTTACCCCTGTATTAGTACTCCCTATTTGTGAAAAAGACATTGAATTCATTTGATAATAGTTTGATGAAAATTATTTAGTGTCATTTTATTTTTTTTATCCAATATTGACAACATTAAATCTATCTAACTTACATTTTATCTAATAAAGCTAATCCACGCGGCATGGTATCACAAATATCAAAAACGCTAGCTGCATTTCCTCGCTGAATTTATTTAACAGTTTAATTAAATAAGTCGGAGTTATAGTTAAATGTCAAAAAGTTGTTATTGGTTGCCATGGTAATACTTTACATTGTCTCACTTTTTGACTGTCAGTGTCATCGTAAAATTTTATTGTCTAAATTTTTCTAAACGCGCCGAAAAAAGTACAACTCCAAAAATCTTAGCAAACAAAAAACATTTCGGAATCGTTACGTAGTCGTCTCGTACGGTATCATTCCAAACGTTCGTAATAGGTCAACATTCGCATTTAGTTGTACCGTTCTATAATTGAAAAACTCTTCACATCTTTTTTTTTTAATTTTGGCATTGTCTTTTGTGCCGAAACACGTGGCGCGAGCGGGACATTTCTCATTCTGTCTCTTTCAACAGCAATAACTACTAGAAACTGGAACAAAATGTGGCAAGGCATACACTCGATACTTAGCCTTAAAATTAATTACTTCTTGTGTTACCAGTATTTTAATGTTTTATATCGTTCATGATTGTGCGAATCGCTATGTTAAAATAACATTAGAATTTCCTTATATCTGTGACCTACTAGCATCGTAATTGATTATGAAGTGAATAAATTCCATTATTTTGATGTTTTCTTGGGCTTACAAGGATCGAAGCTAAATTTCTTTATCACAATTACGAAAACTTACACATTACGTAAGCGACTTATTTGGAAATTGTATAGATTAGTAACAGTGCCTGTGCCTGTAGTGATTTTTTATAAATTAATGTATTAAACATTTGCGTGAATATCGAAAATATAACCGGTTCGTTTTTAATAACAGAAAGAGGAATGTGTTCCCAAACGAAACTTGTTTTGCGGGTTAACAGCAACTGTCAACGAGATGGTTTAATATTTACGAATCATAACTGCAAATCTTGTTTAGATAAATATTTAATAAATCTATTTATGACTGCTCTTATAACATCAGAGACCAACATCACCAACATCAAAATTGCCAAAATGCACATTTGTTGCCTGTGGTCAAATGGTTGAATACGAATAAGTCTCAATTCAAGTCTTATTTATTCATGTTTTAATGTCAACGTCATTTAGATTTTACTCCGTTGCACAATTTTCCCACCAAAAGTTTTTTTAAAACATAAAATAGATTTATTTTTTTCCGTGCAATAAAATTAATTTAAATAAATGACGCACACTAAAACCAATTCCAAACAACCCTAATTACAATGTATTATTAATAAAAAAAAACACCATGTAGTTTCTCGGAACGAATAAAACAATTTCCGAACATTAAATTTCTACAAAGCCTCATTTAAACGCGTTGCTTTTTTATCCACAGCGTAATTACGACACACAGTGTAGATACAAGATGGCGGACCAAATTAATTTCAACACAAGATTACTAATCGTCAAAATACGGCGAATAGCTTCCGATACGCCATTGGTGTATTCCCACAAATAACTGTACTCGGTTGCAGTTGAATTGATTTACGGGATCCATTCTTCAATGGCCGCTCGTGTCTTAATAACTTACGTTCACAAGAATATTGCTTAGGTAACTAAGGCTCTATCCACACTTGACTGTTTATTTAATCCTCTTTTTATGCGTAATTTTTGCAGCTTTCTACGTGTCCAATACGTCGTGTCGTCGTATTGGGCTTGTGGGAGACGTCGTCCAAGATTAGGCTACAGTGACTGGTGATGGTTATTAATACGAATAAAAACCATTTCAGACACTTCAAACAAAGTATGACAATAATAGTTTTAATAACTTTTTAATTGAACTTTTTAATTTGTAAATCACCAGAGCTTTATGTATAAATACATGAAATGAAAAAGACCCTTAAACCAAATTTTATTCCCTTGTATATTGCGATGTATTTCCACAATTTAATCCTAAGCAAACAGCCCTTGTCCAACATCAATCTTAGAAATGGAGCACTGAATTATTGAAGTGTACTTGCTTGGCCGCGAGCTGTGAGAGCTCAGTGCCCGGGCGCTCGCTCTTACTTGAATACACTCGAACAACCTTATTTAAAACGTAACCAATGAAACTTTAACCGACTTCAAAAAAGGAGTAGGTTTTCAATTCGACTGTTTATTTTTTTTAATGTTTGTTACCTCAGAACTTTTGACTGGGTCAACCGATTTTCACGATTCTTTTTTTATTTGAAAGCTGGTAACAAACATTAAAAAAAACTAAGTTACGGATCGAGAAACTCCTCCTCTTTAGAAGTCGGTTGAAAAAGAAAAATTACATCGATCGAGAATGGAATCCGCATCCATTGGGCTTTATCGATCGCATCAAAGAAAGAACTCCGGTCTGACTTTCTCTATTAGACAAGACTTGTCATCGATTCCATTAGATAAAGGAACCAGTTGGTAATATAAACGTAATGGCGTGGCTTCATTGCATTTAAGATCTGGCGATGGGGATAAAATGATGGGGACGGTGTCCGCTCGTTAGTGGGATTATAACTCGTCGTTAATTTTTATTTGTTTATGTGAAAAGTTGGCAAGCAAACGTTGGCTGTTCGTCTGATGTTAAGCTATTACCGTCGAGGTATTGGCTTCGGCGTCGGGGGTCGTGGGTTCGATCCCCATACGGGACTATTCGTTTAGTTTAACCGTTCAACACTTGGTAAACTTAAAATCGCAATAATCCGTTTTATCGGTGCCAAAACCGAGATTCGAAGTCAAGTTCGTGTTGGTCGAGTATACTGATTTAAAAGAAACTGCGCTATCAGAACCGAGGAGTTCCGGATCAACTTCTCTTACCTTAAAGTGATGGAAAACGAGTTAGCAGTTCAGTGGGAGATATGAGAACGGAACAAACGGTAAATGCACAGCATGAGAAGAATTACACGCGTGTTGACAATCTTGGGAAGTCGATATATGAAGGGGTCTCAGGATCGTGCTGTGTGGCAATATGTGGGGGAGGCTATGTTCAGTAGTGGACTCCAACAGGCTGAAATGATGATGGTAACAATCTTCAAAATGGCAGGGCTTCCGGTGCCAAAGAGTCACACCGATATTCTAACTCAGACCACCAGATCACAAGCCGATCTTCAACCGCTGCTCCACCAAGGCCCAATTAAGAGCGGTCAGTTGAAACGATAAAACAATGGGAAGAACAAGCTCCCACAACCGGTCACCACATAAGGAACTGATACGAGTTGCGTCTACATAAATAAAATTAACTCGCGCCTCGTCTCTACGGGGGGTAACTTTATTCAATGCCTCTCCCGCTGTATCGGCTAATTGGAGGCTACTTTAGACAAGTATGACATCACGTTAAACTTGAAACTGAGATGTCTTAGAACTTGAGAAGCCATCTAGATACACGTAGAAAGCAACAAACTGATAAGTATAACTTTCTTGATCTCAGACCAACAATAGAAAAATGTTTCGTAACATATAAAAGAAAATAACTGTCAGTCCATTTGCACAAACGATTTTTATTTATGTTATGTTACTAAGATTTGTGAATTTCTACTATTTAAAAATAAAATATTCTGACTGAGTATTTTTAAAGGTAAAAGTTAAATCAACATAACCTTTGTAAAACTGTTTGCATAATTTATCGATTATGTTAGTGTACTTTGACCTCAAATTTTTGATTTAACATCAAACTATATGAATATACAGCATGGTATGTACTTAATTCACTAATTGTAACTCCATTTAGACGACCATTTCAAATCTATTCAAATTAGCAACAGGGTCATCCTTAACAATATGAACAAGTGGCATATTTCGATTTCGACGCAAGTCATTCGCATACTCCGCGTCCGGTCGGTAACCACATTAATCGAAATAGCCGAGAATGTTCTCGAAATAAAGACAATATTGTCTAACCCCGAAAGCTAAACGATGCGAATAAATACTAATACAGTACAGGACCGCACGTGTAAGCCGTGCAAACATAGGGAGCTACAATAGCGCCGGGTCGCAATAAAGTCGACATAAACTCGCGTCCGAAAGTGCTATAAAACGCTCTATCGCCGTAAAGTTATTAACGGAAAGTGCGCAGCAAGAGATAAGTGATATAAAAAATAGCTGTTGGTTTCTTTTTATGAGCACAGTCTAGAAACCGGCAACATACGTTCATAATAAAAGGAAGAATATCGAATCATAAAAAACATTCACACTGTTTCCTGAATCTATTCATTGTACTCGTAATGGCGAACGCAAATAAAACAGTGATATAAACCAACTTCAGAATTTGATATCTAAGATGTCCGTTTTACTTTACGGCGCCATTTTAATCTTCTGGCATTTCGAATGATGACGAAGTACTCCGAAGATTCGGATGAGCATTTAATTTACTCGCCACAAAATCCCATAAGTCACAGTGTAAAGATTTTATATCTAGACCAAACTGCGTACGCTATGTTATCTTTGTCTTTTCTGGATGATGTGTTCGGTTTCAGTTTTAAAGAATTTCCAAAGGTTCAACGGACTCGAATGTACAAGTAGGCTACAAGCTACGACTACAACAATCCAACTAACCTTTCAGATTTAAATTAAACACAGTTACAGGTGTGGCCTGCGATAAAGGCACAAAGCGCACTGGTCCCTTCCATCATTAAGAAAGTGCAATTCTGATACCCTCCCGATATCGACTCGACTTTCCTCAATCTGAACGCTGGATCTAACGTAAACATCGACCAGTATATCAGGACCGTCACCGCCAGCGAATACAAGGTCATTACTTTATCGGATCTCATAAAGGCCGCAGTTAGAGTGAAATATTGGATGTCTAACAATATTTGCGCAGCGGGGTCTTTTATTTATTAGCCAATTTGTCGCGATATGCCGCGCTGCAACTGCAATTGGACATGAATGGGAATGAAGATGCTGTGCGTGATAACGATAACAGACTTTCACCTGAGGGGGCCTAATTTAAAACTATTCACCCGTTCGTTATAGTGAAATCACTTCACGGAATATACTTGGACTTGGATGGGCAATAGACGCGGCGAAGCATTCGAAGGCTGATTACATCTTAAGTGAAATTTTATCGTGTGTGTTGTACATGTATTTAATATATATCATGAGAGAAAACTGCATACTTTCGAAATAATAAAAAGTATACTAATACATATATGGCCCACTGATGGGTAAAGTTCTGTTATTATTTCTAAAATCTTCAGGTGTTCCTCAAAATATGTGGAGTCTTTGTATCTACTTGGTAAACTATGGCCTAATACTAGACCCTAATAAGGGTATGCCCAGTATTGGGACGCATATAGGCTGTTACTTTACGTCTACAAAGGAAAACATAAAAGAGATGGAAACTTAGCAATAGCTTCCTGTTTTCATTAAATTTGTTGCTTTGCCTAACTAAACGCACGCTTCAGTAGACCTTCTGCACGTCTCGCAACACAAAACCTCGCCGTGTGTTCTCCTGTCAACGCTCACCAAATGGGCACGTTTAGAATGGCAACATTCGCCTGTCCCCTCACATGTGGTACACGAGAGCGCGCCTAAGGCAGAACAACAAATCTAGGCGGCGGATTTAAAGTACGGGCCGCGCGATATGTAATCGCGCCCTAGAATATCCACTAGTTCTGCGTACACCGTCGAGTGTGGGCTATTTATCGCTTAACAGAATATTGGTGGTTCAAAATGTTAACGCTCCAGCGAACAAAATACCTCCAAACTCAAACTAAAAATATCTTGATCCAAACAGACGCTTCCGCGTTCTAATGAAACGAGAAATTTTACATAAAAATTGGTATATATGTTCGTAAGTTACTACCGGTTCGGAAAGCTCCCCCGCAAAGGGTTGCGGTGCATGCCCATAAACTATACCGAATGTAATTTAAAAAGTACATCGAGGATTTGAGCACCCTTTATCACAGTTTACAGATGGTATTTCACACCAGTATTGTGACTAAGGATTTTTTTTATTCGAAAAGTTGCCAAACGAGCTGACGGGTCACCTGATGTTAAGTGAATAACCGCCGCCCATGGACATCTGCTACACCCGAGGGTTGCATATGCGTTGACAACCTTTTGAAAATTGGGCGCCGGCCACCTCACTCATTTGTCATACTTCTACTTTACGCTAGTATTCTGTGAGGTCGTGGTACTTACCCGGACGGGCCTGCCCATTCGTGCAACAGCCGAGGCTGCTGCGTGGCCCTACCACCGTGATACCTTTACATTTACTTTAACTGATGTTTTTGCTTTCCATCCGTAGTCTATTAAATCTTATGCAAAACTCATGGGTTAGGCAGATCAGACAAGCTTAATATGGCCCTCTACTGAGTAGGACTCAATCTTATCATGTCTAATGTCAACAAATGGCCGAATACGAGCCCGAGTGACTACATTAAGACTTACATACGTTGTAGTCAGTCAAAAAAATTAAAGTTCATTATAGGTAAATTCACCTCCTTTCTGGATATCTTATCTATTAGATATTCTTATCTAGCTGAAGCCTGAAACCTGCACGCCAGTTATACTTAGATCATAATGGAAAAAGGCCAAACCATACTAGTAAGCACTGCAGTGAAATTGTATGAAACAAAACTGTTTTAGACAGACAAAACATTTTAGCTCTATATTTAAACCGAGATCGTTTCTTACTAATGGAAATAACTGAACAAACAAGGTCATAACCGTTTAACTTTTTTGGAATGATCATTGAACGGTTTGTTGAACCGATGTTTGTTTTCGGTCTAAAATAAGATTAAAATAGTCATTCTAAGTCCGTATACGGACTTGGAAACAATGTCGTTCATTGTAGCGTTCTCGTATTTCTTTTTTTTTATTAACCATGTATTATATGTCGTCAGTCACGGTATGTGTATTGTGCCAGTCTGATGTCTGTTAAGTAGAAGGTGACGTCGCAAGGAGGTTGGATGACCGCAATGTTGATGTGATTTAATTTTTCGGCAATTTTCGGGGTAAAGTAGTCTCCTGCCAACTCGTAAAATTGCGTCCTCTTCTAGCCAGTGTTCAGCGACTGGGTCACTTTCATCAGATCAGTTTGCGGGAGTCCACTATCAAGACAAGTATCCCTCGTCAAGTAATGTCACCCGAATTATTGTATTTTGCATCCAGGTTTTGTGTTAAGTTGGCTTACTGTGGTAGGGCCACGTAGCAACTTGTTTTTGCGCATGTAGGCAGGCTCGATCGGGGAAGTAACACGGCCCTACAGTAGACTGGTGAAGCGGAGGTATTATACTTTCGTGTTTCGTCTAGTGAGTGAGGTAAGTGAGGCACACTTTGCTATAAGTTGGCAACACATCTACCAACTCTGATGTTATCCATCAACTATGTAGATGTCCATGGGCGGCGCTAATCGCATTCCATCAGGTGAACCGCCTTCTCGTTTGAGAACTTTTCACATGAAAACAAGATGCTAAACATGTCAATTTTTTTATTAACAAAGAACAAAACCGACTTGAAATACCTCGCTCTGTATTCATTTTATAATTGATTTTCAGAAGTTCCCTAGGTATCTCCGGAGCCCAAGATCCAATAACAATGAATAATATGGGACCACATGAGAAGCACCAGCTTTCAAATAAAAAAAGAATCATCAAAATCGGCTTACTCAGTCGCGAGTTCTGAGGGAACAAACAAAAACCTCCTCAGTTTTTGAAATCAGTTTATAAAAAACAGACTTGCGTAAATCAACGGCATCTGACCCCCCTTGCACCTTAACGTTAAATAGTCTACAATATACTGAATACGATAGAATTTGTTCATTAATTTATGTAAAAAATCCAGCTTTGCAATCGTTTACAAATGTGATATACTAATTCAACCTTCGGATTCACCTGGTTAAATGTGTCCGAGTCAATGTAGTCTAACATAATATATATATTACAAGTTTTATTTCAACCATTTGCTGCGTGAACTTTCTCGTTCATATTATTAGTGCTGTTGTACAAAGACAAATATCGTTGTATGCGGTCCGGATCATTTGCTAAAGGTAAACCGTTCCGGATCGGGAGCACCCTTGAATCGGCGGCGGACGCAAAGTCAAATGCACTTTCCGATTGGCAGCGCTGGCCGCGTGGCCCAGTTGGTGGCTATTGGCGGATCGGCCAGTTCCGACGATATGTGCCGGCACCGATTATAAGGCCCTAACTACGCTATGATAGCACATTATCATTTCGCAAACGGCAAGATAAACGTCTGTTTGCGCCCTAAATATTTAAGCAAGGCGGGTCTAGCGGTCATAAGATACAATATGTTGATGGCAAGTATCAATAAGCAATTAATGTCGTGGCTGCAATATAAAAACATGATCGTAACTATAGATGAAATCTCTATCACCCTCACTACCTCTAATACTCAACTTTTTTAAATCTTATTACATTTAGGGAATTCCGTGTGACATTGATATACCTCTGTTTTATCTAGAAAATTAGTTACGTTACCATCTAATTTCCTTTTTTGCCTTTTTCCTTGGCCCTATAGCATCCCTATAAAGTCCGGTTTTTTCTTACCGCTAGCACAAAACATCATTTATTTCTATGGACTAGGTACCACAAACTACAGCATAACGACGTGTTTGACATGTAATGCGACTGGTTTGAAATTGAAGAAAAGTAACAAAATCGTGGATACTCTACATTTTGGCGCCACTGTTACATCTGATATTGGACGTTTAAAAAACTTTATTAAGTTATTTCTATTAGTTAATTTTAGTTAGGTATAATTAATTAAAATAACTTCACAGTTAACGACTGCAGATGTTAAGTGTGTATTATTCGTCTGTATATTGCTCTTATTATTGTGACATCACTCCATATTTCTCACCAGTACGTTTGCAGTCAGAATTCTTTTAAGAGAGGCCATTAATCAAAGAAGAAGATGTTTGCAGTCAATTTTCCCGCTCAAACCGTAATGACGTCTCACATAACGGCTTACCGTTAACTGTCGAACGCATCGCGCCGCTATCGTTCGCGCCGAATTTATCGCGAAAAACGCGGGAAAGGGACCCGTTTCCGAAGGCAACCTTTAATTGGGAGCTGGTTCCGACAACTCGTCATAAAGATACCTCGGCTCTATTACGGATTCCGCAAAAAGCGTTGTCGACGCGCGCTCGTTAATTTATGGCTTTTATGTGCGCGATGACGATTACTCGCGCGACCCGTTTAGTGCGGGTTTTCCTTTTATTTTATGATAACGTGGCAAGCGAGCTGGCGATTCACCTGGTGTTAATCTGCTACACTCGAGGGTTCCAGATGTGTTGAAAAGCTTTTGGAAAGTGGGCCCCGGCCACCTCACTCACCGGACGAAACGCGAAAGTATTATACTTCCACTTTACGCCCGTCTTCTGTGAGGTCGTGGTACTTACCCGGACGAGCCTGCCCGTTCATGAAACAGCGGAGGCTGCTGCGCGGCCCTACCACCCTTAAATGATAACCACCACCCATTGACATTTGCAACACCCGTAGTTCTGCAGATGCGTTGCCACCGTTTAATAAAACCCCTAATTAGTTCAAGAAGTAATTAGGGGCTTTATTGACGCACATTCCTATTGATACTTGTATACAGCTATTTACTATTTTGCAATATACCGCATTGTTGAAAAGATTTGTAAAACGGTGATGTTTCGTTTTATTTCCAAAATAAAAACTATTTATATAAAAAAATATTTATGAAATGAAACTTGTCTCACGGATTAAATCGCTCTTAACTTAAACTGTAATTTCTGTATAACTCATTAAGTCAATCAGAACTCTCTATTCCGGTGCTTATATTAAAACTCTCAATATTCATCTGTTTCTCTTTAGCTCATACTCCTTCTCTTTCACGCATCCTAATTTTACTATCGGGTATCTAGTACAGAAGACTGACCGAATAACTTCAACGGAATAACTATTTTGAGCTTAAATCACCAGAAGTCATACAGTCGAGAAACTTCGAACACCTAACCTGCAAATCTCGATTACATTTCAACTGTCTTCTGCGCTAATCACGTCCATGGCATCGAAGGTCGCCTAGGGGACAGGCCGTGACGTGTGACCTTGAGGTCGGGCCACCCCGACCCATGATGTCAAAGCAAACTTGACCCCATCCCGTCTACAGCTAGCTGCGACCGGGCCCGGCCGCGATTTTAGGTCGGCGTCACCTTATGCAACGGTTGGATAACAGCGCGTCGGCGGCAACTGTTTTAGATGCGGCCACGTAACGTGTCGTCTGTTCTATCCCGTGTCGCTGGTCTTCTAATACAAGCTCGCGGTTTCCAACGAGGAAAGCATTACATTTTTATTTTTGGCGATAGTCTCCGAACTCAGTATGAAACTACATTGTAATTATTGTATATAAACGAACAAACATTTTCAGTTTTCAATGAACAAAAAATACCGATACAAAGTTTTGTTCATTTATCTACAAAAATTTACAAATTAAGGTAAGTAATTAATTAATTGTATCGCAGTGTGGGACGACCCCCCACTAGATGGAATGACGACCTGTGCAAGTGTGCGGGAAATCGATAGATGCAGGTGGCTCAGGATCGTGCTTCGTGGCAGTCTGTTTGGAGGCCTTTGTTCAGCAGTGGACTCAAACAGGCTGAAATGATGATGATCATGACTCATTATTTCTTTTTGTTACAATTATTAGACTTGTTTCGTTTTTTATGCCAATTATTATTATGAAAATGTAGTATGACTCGGTAGCGCAGTTCTATCGGCTTCGACGTCGCGGGTCGTGGGTTAACTTCCCGCACGGGACAAGTGTTTTATTGACTCAAATATATTTGTGACGGATAATTTAGTAGATAGATATTCTACACCTCTTCTGGATTCGCGATCAGACGCTTTAACAACTAAGCTAAACGGCTGATTACCGACGAAAATCTCAACGTCTTTTATCCACATTGTTTTCGTATTACAAGCTATGCCTGGCGCAGTACTTTCGTCCTTTTTTTCTACAAGTTTTAATGTAAGAAACATAAGAGACATAAAAACTTAAGTGCAGAGATAAACAGTATAAAAAATATAAAAGTAGTAAAAAAATGTATTCTTGCAGAATAATGTTTGATGTCCAAGAACCGGAACATAGAGTAGAAATCCAGACACGAATACGCATTAAAATGTATCATACATTCTCCTTTATTATCTACGAACACAGACGTAGATGTTGCCGTATAATCAAAACGCATTCATTGGGCTTGTTCATATCTAATAGACGCCCGGATGGTCGTTTTTGTAATTCAACGCCGCGCAATGGTCGTAAAGGTCGAATTAAACGCGAAATAATCAGTTCCACCTGTCCCTAACCGCTACAAGGCTGTACAGAAATGTGTCGAGTGGCGGGAAATCGCCGCAAGCGAATGTACTTGAGGCAAATCGCTAGTTTGTGTCTCAGTTGTAGATTGTTAAACGCGTCTCGGACCGTTTGTTTTTGCATGTTGGTTTCTAATTAAAATATAGGCATATAATAAATGTTCAAAAGTGGGTTTACATTAAAAACAAACGGTTAGTTCCTAGAGGCCAGTCAAGCCAATATTGCAAATTGTTTTTCATATAAAAGCTGACAATAATCGCAGATCGGTCCGATGACCGGCCTTCCAGAAAAAATACTCATCATTGACAATATTTTCAACAGCGCTCAAATCCGGTATAAGTCAATGTCGAACCTATAACTTGACCTAGACATCACAAGAGCCTATAAAAATAAAAATATCTCAATTCTCTTGACCCTAAGTTAACTAAGGTTCCTTGCTTCACTCAGACAGACTAAAAAGAGACAGGACAGCCACGTCTCCAAACACCGTGTAATACAAATGTAAAGAAAACATCAAACGGTATTTACTGCAAGGGAACACACACAGAAACACACAAAACTGAAACCCACACAAAATTGAAACACATAAATTGACACACCGACACACCTAGTTTGGAACCCAAAAAGACATAAAACATAATAAACCCAACTTCCTGGACTAAGACATCAGCGAAACTAACTTTGCACTGTTTACATATTAATTACATTGTAGACCACAATCTCAGACAGTTACTAACATTCCTTCTTAACTATACTTAGTTGGTACGGTTAATTAACGAGAGTTAATTTTACTACCGCTTACCTTTATTGCGATTGACATTACTTAATAAAACAGTTACCTCAAGAAAACGGTGTCGTCAGCAATAAATTTTATAAGTATCCACTGGGCTATTAAATTTTACAATTGCGATAAATAACGTAACTTGTTGCGGGTAAATTTACGAGTATGACGTGAAATAATGTACATAAATGTCTAATAAAGATACTTAACAACTAGGCGTCTCTTAATTTTTCCGCTATCGAAACCTTGTCACCTAAGTAACAACTAACGGATAATTATTAACTAAAATAGCATTTAATATATATAGACGGACATTGGAGAGATTTTAGACGAAATTTCACGCCCCGATTGCAACATATGTTGACTAAAGAAATACGAACATAGATGGATAATAGTTAACCAATTGGCTTGAACACGCTTCTGTAACTTGCAAGTTGACTCCAATGAAGCTCCTCAGATTGATTCCTTGTCCTTTTTACTCTGATAGTGAACAACAGCTTCAATCACTGCAGCTAGGCTCCCGATTACAACACGGCTTTTATTATGTGAAGAGGTGGCAAGCTGGCGTGTCACCGTAAGTTAAGTGATAACCGCCGCCCACTGACTTTGCAACACCGTAGGGTTGCAGATGCGTTGCCACCTTTTGATAAAATGGGACCCGATTACCACACTCACCAGTCGCAGAAGTATCATCTTCTGTGAGGTCGTGGTACTACTTTGGACAGACCTGCCCATTCGTACAACAGTGAAGACTGTTGCGTAGCCTTACCACTGTGACCACCAGGTGTTATTACATTTATATGCTGCTGGAAACCGCTCGTTATTTATTTCATTAATTATTACACATATACCTTAATATCGGCAGTAAACCGATGGGAACATACATAAATGGTAATATCGAGACCGCCGTCAGCCGATCAAACGATGTTTTCCATTTAAAATGCCCCCATATCGATAAGTAATAGCTCGATAAGACATACCGCAATCAATTCTAACAACACGAGACTGAAGAACCGTTTAATCTTGAACTGTTACTGACGTTACTACGCTGGTAACAAATTGCACTGTAACGGGCCCTCGGGTTGCACCAACTTGTTTATGTCGAATGTATGACGAAAGACTATTAAAAACACGTAAAATATCTCATATTCCAATTAAAATAAAATATGCTACAGAAATATTTTATCCACGCCGCAGCGACATTCGAAATATTTCGAGAGCATTCGAAGATGAGTCGATAACTGAATTTCGTCGTAGAGCTGTTTACCGTTTTAAAGAAACTGTTAAGTCTTCTCAAATAGAAGCAATTATTTCTGTGTGTGATTTGCATGTTACTAAAAGCGGTGCCCATAAACGGTCACAGCAAGAAGCTGGAAAATCGTTTCCGAATTTTAAGGACGAATACGAAGTCTGAAGGTTCTGAAATTGTTTACGATTACAATTTACTTGTTTCCACTTGTTTGTTTCCGAATACAATTTACTTGTTTCCACTTAGTAACTCTCTATGAAGAAAATTTATTTAATAGTGTACAGTTAATTAAATAAAATTTTGTATTCAGTCAGATAATAACTTTAGACATAACTTAAAAAAACAGAACCTAACGTAAGGTAAAAACCTGTAAGTCAAGGTTTACCTAAATTCATTACACGATCTTTTATACACAATAGTATAATTTCATTAACTATATATCCACATAAAATTGGAACATCCTATATCTTGAATACTTTACCATCATCAATTTGCAGCCGACAAGCGGGGGACACTAAACGAGTTCCGCATGGGAATCAAACTTACGATACGTTAGCATATCTATATACCAACCGCTTCGCTACTGCCAAATGCCGATAAATCCGTGTAAAATTTAGACCGACTCGATACAGTCCAAATTGAACAAAGTAAAATCACTTAACATTACGTTAACAGCCCGCTCGCTTGACAAATTTCCACATAAAAAATATATAAATTATCTATAAAAAGTCATAAAAATCATGTCATGGGAGCCCCACTTAAATATTTTTTATTCTGTTTTTTGTTTGTTGTTATAGCGACAATAGAAACACATCAACAGTAAAAATTTCAACTGCGTAACTATCACGGTAAGATACGGTCTGGTGACAGATGGACAGACAGACGAACAGCGGAGTCTTACTATTAGGGTCCCGTTTTGCCCTTTGGGTTGGGAACACTAAAAACGGGTCTTGCACGAATGGGCAGGTCCGTCAAGGTTAGAACCACAACCTCACCGAGAGACCGGCGTAAAGTGGAAGTGTTACACTTCTACGTTTCGTCTATTGAGTGAGGTAGCCAGGGCCCACATTATTAAAAGGTGATAACGCATCTGCAACCCTACGGGTGTTGAAAATGTCCATGGGCGGCGGTTATTACTTAACTCCAGGTGAACCGCCACTTTCTCACATAAAAAATAGGCGGAATAATGAATGGAGTAACTCTTCGCCCGTATGCAGGCAGCCTTATTAGATTTATGCGCGCATTTCGAGCGCGAGACGGGGCCCGTTTGTGCCGGCGTACGCAAGGCCGTTGTTGTCGGAGCGAAACAAAATTTGTATCTATCAGTTTAACGTCAAATACCGCACAATGAGCGATGAATTACTCTTGATGGTTTCTGGGGTCATTAGGGCTTTGACCTACAGGTACCCTACGGTCTTAAAAACGGTCCGAAATTAAATATGTTTTGGGTTTATTGCATTCGCTTCCCAGCAAAGGACATTAAGGCTTCATTCATGATGCTACGAATGTCTATTGATGGCCAGTATCACATGACTCGCAACACCGCTGAAGAATGGAACGCGACTTTGAAAAAGGGAAATTTTAAAAATGGAACGTTCGATGCCGAACTCACAAGACTGTTACCAACGGAAATATCACGTTTCGCGGTACACGGCACGAGCGGGTTCCCAATTAAGACGCGCCGTGATGATAATTAACGAAGAAAAAATCCGAAGTGATCGGATTGGTTCGCGCCGGCCGACGGCACGTGCCTCGCCGCGAAAGGAACCAGATCCTCTGGGGGGCTTCCGCGGTGTCGTGTCTGTTGACTTGTAGGGCGGCTCGTCGATGCCTGTCGTGGCACGTTTCGTGTTACCGGGAAGATGTGGCGCGGAAGCGGGCGGCTTATGAGAGTAACTCGAGCGGTGTGGACCGCTTTTTTTTATTTTCCCTCTTTATCACACAGTAAAGAGAGTTTGCTCTTTAGACAGTCGTTTATTCTTCTCAGGTCGTGAGTACGCTTTCGGACATGAACTAGGTAAATGTTCTATGTTAAGATCCAGAAATTTACATAAGGGAAATTAGCCCGCGAATCCCGCCCACATCCCACCCGTGGGTGAAGCTAAACATGCTTATGTCAGGGTTTAAAACTCCCTTCCGGCTGGGTTCATGACTTGTCGCGGCGGAGGGGCTTAGTAGCCGTGGCTTGAGCTCACACGGTGAAACCAAGAGGCTCAACCCAGGCCGAACTAGGCCGGCCTGTAGTGTAAAGCTGAACCGCTGTAGTGTCGCCGCGAAGGCCGCGCCGAGCAGCAGTGTTAGCAGTGTAGAGCAGAGGCTCTCCCGGCTAAAAAGAGACCGAGTAGGAATGAGCGCTTTATGTTCCAGTGGAGGAGAGGGGGTTGCTCCTCGAGGAGGGTCTGCTGAAGCGGCCAGAGCTGACAGGGCCGCGGAAGTATATGAAAGCGTTACTATGATCTTCCTAACATGCGCCCTAGGTGGAACATCTAGTATTAGTTGAAGCGAGTCCGACATAGCTTGCACTTGCCTATGCACTATGCGTAGGTGCCTTAAAAATCTGTGAAAGCATTTTACATAGTCCATATCCAACGAAGATTTACGCATGTCCTTAAGACTGGAAGCACATAAAAAATTGACTAAACAAGTCTAAGAAGACAGAGGCCATAACTTTTTTGTAGTTACAATTGAAAGGAAAATAAACAAGTTCACAACTTGACGTCACACTAGTTCACGGTTCTGAGCCCGACTATTCACGCGGACACAGAGTATTAACGCTTCGGATTCGACGAAACGTCACCATGAAGATCTTAAGCCGTTCCTAGAAACATTCGCAGCCAAAGACATCGTATTTCCGACACGATTGATGTTATGAAAAATCGCCACGACGTCCCATTTCCTTATTGCTTAATTAGACCGTTAAAATATCGTTTTCATAATTGTTTTCGATCTAAGATCTCTGTCAGCAATTCGTGCAGAATTATTACTATTCCACAATGAGAAAGTTGCAAACGTAATAGGCATTCTTTGTATGAACAAAAGTTTGAACTAAAAACGATTTTTTCCTTTACGGTCGACAGATTACAGGGTCATCATGAGTACAAGTCAATTAATTTAAATATCTATTGAAAGAACGTGTGTATACAAAAGATAAATTTAACGACCATTCATTGATAACAACTCGTTTAATCCGATGCGAACGTCATAAAATTAAAATGAAACATCAAACTTTACGATTTAACTGAAACGTCTAAAATCTTTAGACGTTTCAGTTAACACCCGACGCAGTTTCGCACGGTTATACCGATATATTAAGATACGTAACGAACGGAATTTTACTTTGGACTTTTTAATCATAAGGGTAAGGAGCACAGTCTCATAGGAAGAAACAGCTACAAATGCTTCCAACTATAAGCGGTAAACAACAGTATCAAATCCATCCAGAATGGCGCTAGAGTAGCAAGAGAGTAACATTATTTACATTGCGTTGAATTTTAGTACACTAACTAATACCCACCTGCTACTACCAATTTAAAGCTTTCCGACGGACACTTTTAATACATAGAGACTGTTCCCCTTACCTCTATCCTCCATGATTTAGATAGCATTGCATTTTCCAATAGAAATTTTTGCATCGAAAGCTTGCCTCAATTCGTCCTCATGTTGTCTATTACTTAAATAACGGTTTAATAAGATTGCATAAGCGTGGATTCCTAAGGTACGAATACTCGTCCAAAACCGGAAACACTAACGTTGTCCACGTGGTCCATAAAACAACGGTTTTACGATTCCTATCAGAATTATAAACATGTAACCATATAGCAACTTGAAGGTCAAATCGCCATCCGTTTTAAATGTAGTAAAATTTAAACGCTAAAAAGTGACACTCCATATGAACACAACTTACAAGCTCCCGTATAATTATTGTAAACTTTCCATCGCAGAATTTGAAATTGATAAACACAAACAGCATGTGTCGTCACACAGCATTTTCCGCGGCTGCCCACATAATGTTCTTTTAGGGATAAATTAATTATATGAGTTCTTTTATGGCGCGACAAAAACACCTAGAGTTCAGCTTTCTCTATATCAAATTTCATTGAAATCCATACAGCCATTACTGGGACAAACGTGTTTTTACAAAGCTTTACATGCATAGAACATCGGCGCTACGATACAAGAGTAATGATAACTTAGCAATCTCACTGCTCAGATTAAATCCAGTGTAGCCTTCTTGGTCGAGATACTTATGGCTGTAAACACTTGCAAACACACAAGCTGCGAACCCTTATTTTCTCCTAAGTGTTATTAATACCTTCACGCAGAACAGTAAAAGAAAATAGAAATAAACTTTTCGTGGTCAGCAAATCGAATTAACAAATTCGATAACTGACTATACCGGCCTCTTAAATTTATCGACGAGCGTAATTAGATTTACAATTACCAAGAACCGGTTCGGCGTGAGGCCTCAAGTCCGGTCATTTATTTTATTTATCTGACTGCGCTTATTAGAAAGTGGTAGCCGATGTTAAGTAAGATTGTATACGCGAAAAGATAGAGCCCTATTAGAGCCAAATTAACAATGTGTTGTTCGATTTCTCGTTACATAGTACGTCCTGTATACTCTACTAGTGGGTAGTACACCTGCCTCCTGCGCCAGAAGGTGTGAGTTCGATCCCCACTACTGGAAAAATATTGTTTGATGAACATAGTGTTTTTCTAGTGTGTTTTAATATATGTGTAATATTTATATGTATTTATTTACAAAAGAAAAGCATGTTTGTCAGTTTTCTAGTACCCATAGTACAAGCATCGTTTAGTTTGGCACTAGAGAACGTTGTGAACAAAATGTGTTCTAAAAATATTTAGTAATATATAATATTTACTCTAAATCGGTGAGAAAACACAACAGAGGCACGGCCATATAGATTAATTAGCCTCGGCAACGATGGCTTTATTAAAAAGTGAACTGTTATGAACACGTTGATGTATTTTGTACAGTCGACAGCCGCGGTGCAGTCCACCTTGAGTTCTGGAGAAATGTGCCCGACCACGTGTACGCTTGCGTGATGTGAATTCGCGTAAAGCCTGGCGAAACGAGCCCAAAACTCGCGATGGAATTGAAGCTAATGAAACCAGTTCCGTCCACACGAAAAACCGAGCGATGTTGGCCGCTAGTAAACGTTAGGCTTCATTGTATCTGACGCGATAGTTTATCTGCCGCGTAACTTTGTGCAATCAATCAAGATTAGTGGAAATAGTATGAGCACCAACGCGGCCTCGCGTTTTCGCCAGATTTAAATTCGGATCCGTCGCAAACGTTTCACCGTATACTTAGAAATAAATCGTTTGCTGATTTCTTCGATAAAATAATATATTTTTTTCACTTAATAACTTATGTGTTTAAAAGAGATGGCGCAAGAGCTAGCTGTTTTTTTAAGTGAAATTAGCAAACGAGCAGGCGGTTCGCTTAATGTTAATTGAATACCGCCCATGGACATCTTTAGCTCCTGAGAAATGCTTTGCCAATCTTTAAAAACCCCGGTTACCTTATTCACCAGACGAAACGCGAAATTACAATACTTCCAATTCACACCGTTCTTCTATGAAGCCCTTGTAATGGTGGTGGTATGGTATGGTATGGAATGTTACTTCCCCGGACTGGCCTGCACATACATGTAACAGGAAAACTACTGCGAGGCCTTACCAAAGTAGAAGTCTGTTCAAAATTTTAAATAATTTAAATACTTCTCACTAATACTTGAGGCCGTGTTACATGTAAGCATCATGCGAAGGCAGTTATTTGGCTCTATCATAAGAAAATTACAAAAAAATCATAAGCAAAAACATTGTACCCTGTAATTCAATAGCGGAAGTCTATCCAAATAAGATTTAAATAAATTATTAAATGTAATCTGCCTAGAATGAATAGGCTTTGAACTAGTGCGTTCACCATTTACGGCTACGCAGTCACTAAGCATCATAAGAATGGTAAAAACTAATTGATTTTTTGTTTCAAAAACTGATTAGTCATTTCCTCATAATTAAAATGCGTGTTTAGTCGTTCAATGTAGTATATGATCAATTCATAATAGACAAAGCATATGCACAGGTTAGCGAACTCAGACATGGCGTTCAGCGGAATCGAACTTGAGACACCCTGGCACTATCGCGGTGCTCTAATCCTCATCACTTTCTCGTGAACCTTATAGTCATTCCATATCGCACCTAAACGTTCCCGTTCCATTGCGTTCAATTAAAACGCTCGCTCGCTAATATCCGGTGAGGGTAGACAAGCGGTTTTGTCTATTACTTCTAAAGCTGTAAATTGTAGCGCTTCTGACGGGTCTTTGAACACAGTAATTGTATTATAAATAGGACAAAATAACGGATAAATCAAATCGAAAATGAAAACAGAGTTATCTGTGGTGGGGTCACGCAGCTGTCTTCGCCGTTTCACAAATGGGGAGGTCCATCCGGGTAAGTATCACGAGCTAACAGAAGACCGGCGTGAAGTGGAAGTGTTATACTTCCGCGTTTCGTCTGGTGTGTGAGGTAGCCGGGGCCCACTTTATTGACGCATTTGTAAGACTACGGGTGTTGAAAATGTCAATGGGCGGCGGTCATCTCGGTACACTTATAGCCGCGAGCTTGCTTGTAATTTTCTTACACAAAAGAAGCTTCTATTATAGCGCGTAACTGTGTTCTCGCAGAAGACTGGCCTGAAGTGAAAGGCCTCATTTGAGTGTCGTCTGTTGGGTTGGGTAGCCGGGTATTTTGTATGGAAAAAGTTGACAAGCGAGCAAGCGATTCATATGACGTTAAGTGACATCCAAAACATCTGAGGGCTTGCAGATACGTTGTCAACCTTTTTGATAAAAGTGGAGACCGGCTACCACACGCACCAGACGTAACGCGAAAGTTTTACATTCAGTCCATGCCGGTCTCCTGTGCCTGCTACTTCAAGCCTGCCCATTTGCAAACGTGCGTACATAAGTACACTCAAACGTTTCTTTATTCTGTACAACAATTTTAAATAATGTTAGAGATAATTAAAAAAAAATTATCAGTGCCCCCAATCTCACCATTTTTAAGTAAGCAATAGTGGGTATAAATTATCAACCACTGATTAAAAATTCCCTCAAAATAGAAATATACGTGTTTACGTAATTTAAATTTAGGACAACTACTTAACCTACATCCAACCAGTTTAGATCGTATAAAAACGAACTTCTATAACCTTATCGATTATTAAATTAGAATCTCAAATAGTCACATCGATGGTTAGAATTATTTGTGTGTAGATTGAATAATCACACTTCCCTTGATATATTAAATCGGACTGTGATACGCTATCAAATTCCTCCATTCATATCAATGACATGTCATAGTGACATAGAAAGGTAGTAAAATTAACTTTATATTTGCCTTATTTTGCAACTCTCGACTCCAAAATAAGTTAAAAAAGAACCTAAAGAATAATTCTTCGAAGTCGTTTTACTTCGAGTTAGGTCGTCTTCCTATATATATTATGTGATTACTTTCTTAAAGTATTTAATAAATATCTGAAAATGAGGCCCGAAGCGAAGGGACTTGAAAACCTTATATGAACCTCTTAAGGAAAAATCCATTTTGTGTGCTGCTATTATGTATGATGAAATCCGGTGCGCTTCCTGGAATTCAGATAGAGGTTTAAGGTATCTATTAATCTTCATTATTAGAAGACCTTCGACCTTCTTGAAGGGATGAAATGTCAACAATCGGTTCTTAGTGCTCATCTATCATACACAGGGAACATCCGTGGACAAGCTCCTGTCTTTTAATTTATGTTATTATCCACTTCAAGGTACGAGTTTGTTCTAATAGACCAAGATTATCTATAATCCTGCCAGTGCTCGTATCTGTCATGTATCAGTATCACTATCAGTAATGTATAAGGAAATTTTGTAGCCTTTAAGCTCTTATAGACCGGTGCGGGATATATTATATGTTGCTCTGTTTATCAGTCCGTTTCGGTTCTAATAAGTGGAGCGTTATGTGGTAGTCTATCGTCGTAATCAGCGTCTGACGCCGCTAGTGATTGTGTGAAGCAAGCGATAAATATAGCGACATCGATTGGTTTTATTGCAAGCGCGTTACGTAAGGTCGTGATTAGACCGGGCCTAGGACGGTCGGCGGGATTGGGCGGTGACGTCACGGCCACTAGGGAGCTATTCTTGAAGCGTGAATAGTATGCGTGGCTGCGGCAATCGTCGCACGCGATAAGGCGATGCGCGGAACTGGGTTTCGAAGTTTGGCGACGGGGCATTTCGAGATGTACCCTTTTGAAGACGGATATATCTATTGCTGTTTTTGTATGTTACAAGGTGGCAGAGCGAGCCAGTTCACCTGATGCTAAGTGATAACCCATGGACGTTAGCAACACTTGAAGGGTAGCAGACGCGTTTCCACCTTTTAATAAATTGAGCCCCGGTTATCTCATTCACCAGACGAAACGCAGAATTGTGACACTTCCTCTTCAGGCGGTCTTCTGCGAAGTCTCGGTACTTCCATAGACGGAACTGCCCATTCGTGCAACAGGAAAGACCGTTGCGTAGTCCAACAAACTTAGGGTCTTCTGTGGGGACGTGGTACTTCCACGGACCTGGACATTCGTGCCATAGACAAGACCACTGCGTGACCCAATAAGCTTATATCTCTAACCGATGGACGCAAGCTCTACAATGTAGGGGGTAAAAGATTGTGCCAGTGGTTTTCCCGTAACGGAGAATTTTTAGTCTACTGTTTCCCTTTCCCGTAGTAGGTTAATTGCACCAATTATCTTATGCAGCGTCGTATTTATCTATCGTTGCGCATTTAATTAGTTTTCTAGAAACAAATAGTAGAGCACAATTCTTGAGTAAGGTAACCGAGGCACCCAAAGGCTGCCGACACACCTGCGACCACAAGTCCATCAACAGGCAATAGTCACATGAACCGCCTACTAGCCACATAAAAACGGCGTCTATGAATTTCCCGAAGGCGACATTGCGAATCCTAAATGGGTTAAGAGCTAATCGATTCGTTCCGCCGTCCTACTTCCTGTACTCGAATAGCTAACTCGAGAACCGCAAGCCTCGCCTACCTTAGGACTTTAGAATTGGCACAACTATCGCCTATCTAAGCTCCGCTGAATAGCACGAAACTGGAAACGTAAACTTCAATGTAAACGTGAAATCAGAATTGTCTCCAAACTGTCCTCACATCAATTTTGAATTCCAAATGAAACTATGTTTACGACGTTCATTTTTAGTTTTAATTCCCCGTCGTTTCCAAATCCCCTTCATGGTCACGGAACAGTCACGGAACAAACATAGTTTCATTTACTAATATGTAATAGCGTAGATAATAGAAATTTTGAATTCTATTAATTCATCGTTCAACGTACGTTTATCAATTGTATCCATATATTTGGAATGTAATAGTGTCGTTTAATTTCTGATTATCTTAATTACCAAAAAAACTCCACTTTCTGTGACAATTAAAATAATTTGTATTTAAATTCTCCGTGCACATTGTAGGATTTACTACATAACAAAACGTCAAGAAACTGTTCTTATCATCTGCAATTAATATCAAATCCAAATTGGTGTCTATTAAAAGAAAATAATACATAAACTCTTTATACTCTGTAAGGTTTCCCCTGTAATATTAACGAGGACATTCTGCAAGTTCTATTTGAAGAAACAATTAAATCTAGAACGGACATTGAAGATACTGACAACCCAATTGGTGTGGTTGATAGTGACCCTGTCTCCTGCGCCAGAGGGTGTGGGTTCGATCTCCACTACTAGAAAAATATTGTGTGATGGACATAGTGTTTTGTAGTGTCTGGGTGTTTATTTATCTTTATCATGTATTTATTTACAAAAAAAGTATGTTTACCAGTAGTCAGTACCGTAGTAGTACCCATAACGTTGTGCAAAAATGTCACAAAATATTTATTTATTTACTCATTATATTGGATTGGATAATTAGATAGACATCGAAGATTAGATAATATTGAGCCAAACGAAAATCGAAGGAGGTCGTTCATTCCTCCCCCGAGCCTTGAGGTCTGCTTACGCAACCGGAGCATGAATGTCAAAGGGGCGACGAAATGCAGAGTTACATTTAGAGGGCAACCTGTCCGAAATAACGCGAACGCCAAAACCGGAACACTCGCCGGCCGGCAGTGCGCGCGGGTTCAACGGCATGCACTAACATAAATTAACGCATCGGTAAAGCCCCAGGAGTTTGGTTTTGTCCTTTTTAATTGATCTGGGGCGGTCCATATGGTAGGGCCACGGGAGTATATACTGTTGCGCGAATGGGCAGGCTCGTCCGGGTTAGTACCACGACCTCACAGAAGACCGGCGTAAAGTGGAAGTATAATACTTTCGCGTTTCGTGTGTTGAGTGAGGTGGCCGGCGCCCAAATTTTTCGGTGTAGATGTCCACGGGCGACGGATATAACTTAACATCAGGTGAACTGCCTGCTCGTTTGCCAACATTTAACATAAAAAACAGTACCTTTCTACACATATCCGATACTGTAATCGCTTTAGCGGTTAAGATTCTCACTTTACTCCTTCCAACCAGAAAACAGGTTGACTTAAAGACCCGATCCGAAACACTGGTAAAAACTCCACATAGCCCTGTCTTTCCCCGAGAGACGAAGTGTCTTTTTAGATTTCCATCCCATTATAACATATCTGTTGGAGCAGATTTATTAGGTAAGAATCCCAGTCTACTACTTTCCTTACTTAACCATATTTCAAAAGATTGTTTTAAATTATATTTAATTAAAATTACATTGATATAACGTTAAATATATAGGGCCAAGTGATTAAGAAAGCATATCCTCGATACATACTATATTTATATTCTGTATATAAATATAGTATGTGGCGACATTTTTTATTTCCATGTAGCAATCTTTATGTACTTTAACTGTACCTATGTTTATGTTAAATTTTCTTGTCTATAAAAGCATTCATGTTACTTTTTTTAGTTTATTTTGTCTAATTTTAAGAGAATGCCAAAAGGCATTAAGTCCGCCTATTGCACTCCGGATTCAAGAGAATGCAATAACGAGTAAATAAATAAACGTTTATAATGTAAACTCGCAACATGACATCGCATTGACAAGGTGTGAGTTTAGTATATAGAATCATAAAAAATTTTTTCGCTCGAGATTCGAACCAGCATCTTCGTGTGTAGTGTAGCTAGTGTTAGAAGCAGTACAAGCACACTGGGTTCTAACACTAGCTTCTCACTAGAAAGCGAATCTTCCGCCTACAAGGAAAATGTACTCATAGCAACTAGCGGCAGATAAAAGCGCCGAAGACGTTGCTCGAATGCATTGCGTCACTCTAAATTCCATATACAATTAGAAATACTGCTGAAGAAAACGATATGAATTCCTTTAACTACGCGACTAAAACGAGTTCTCTTATTCATATAAGGAAAATAAATAGTAATGATGTTAGGCTAATTCCGTTTTACTAAGCCTATTAAATTTTATACGCGACAATGATGTTAGTATTAGAAAACGTACACAGTGTATAAATCTTATTCAGATCCATTTATGAACCTGAAATATAGACACCTAATCTCTGGTACAAAAGTTATTAGGATATAATTTGACACGTAAACACAACAGAGAGTTGCAGATTTTATGTAAGTTATTTATTTATATTATGGTATATGTAAATATATATTTTTAAACTAATATTCAGCCATGCGGATTTTCACTTTCGAAGGTGATTTTCACTTACCACCTAATAAAAAAGAAGTTGAGAAAATTGTTATTAATAATTTCATCAGTCAAAATGTGTAGATACATTGTAGAATATTAATATGCAGTATATAATGTATAGATAAAATATTTTCGCAACTGCCACGATTTTAATTTGCGCCCTTCGTTTAACACGTCCTGAATTTCTAACCACTAAGCTAGGCCGTTGATACCTTCAGCACCCGAAAACCCGACGTGCTAGTACCGGGATAAGAACTAGAACACTCAAATTTCTTCGTCATCATCATCATTTCAGCCTGTTTGAGTCCACCGCTAACCATGGGCCTCTCCCATAGACTGCCACTAGATGGAGTGACGATCCGTGCAAATGTGGGGAAAGTCGATGGATGCAGGTGGCTCAGGATCGTACTTCGTGGCAGTCTATGGGGGAGGCCCATGTTCAGCGGTGGACTCAAACAGGCTGAAATGATGATGATGACGAAGCAATTTGAGTGATCTAGTTTTAATCCCGGTACTAGCACGCCGGGTTTTCGGGTGCTGAAGGTATCAACCGCTTAGCTCAGTACTATGTTCGAAGCGCAATGACTTTGAATTCACGAAAGCCGATTTACTACGAGGTTTACGTGAAACTTTTGAAGTTATAAATCAAGGTGAACGATCGGACAACTCCGGAATGCACACCGCAGTGCATAAACAAACATGACCAGCTTAACCCAGTCTTACAAAGTCCGCCGCACCAACGCCTTATCTAGACCGTTTGACCTTTACATGCAGCTATTACTCGGTCCGTTTGCGCCTATCGATTGATTTGCCAATGTGTGCGACGCTCAAATTGATTACCCAGGCGGCTGTGACGTCATCGTTGTCTTCTCTCCAGATTACATCATTAAGGGACGACCCACTGGTGATCGGTCCGTGATATCTTTTCTATTTTCACTAGCGTAGCCACGTGGTGTTTATGGCTGTCGCCGAATCCAGCGTTGATGTCATAGGCCACCGATTACAAATGTTAGTCATACCACATGTGACAATGTCAATCGAATAGATGATGATCCTCTAGAAAACTCAGAAGGCTGAAGTAATTAAGTAATGCTAGTTGTTTAGCTTTCGTAGAAATCAACTCTTCAGAGTCTACACATTACATTCATGACGAATGCGAAAGTCAACACGTTGTTAATGGTTAAGTAAACGACTCAAATATTACATAAGTTCACAAGTACTGGTTAGTACTTGGCTCTTCAAGCGAACAATATACCCTATGATTTGCTTCACTGTGATCACGGGCGATGACCCTCAGTCGTGTACAAGGAGTAACCCAGTATTTTATAGCACCCAATATAATATAACCCTCATCTTGTGATGTTCCTATAAATAACAACTAAGTGAATATCATTAACGATTTCAAGATAAATTACAACTAACCTTTCACTCAGAACTTCGGTTAACTTTCTCATTACTTTTGCAGATGATAAAGGCTCAATTTCGGAACATATTTTTACTTCGACAACTTCTTTTATTTATTTCATGACT